TGTCGACAACTAAAAAGAACTCTAAAGTAGCCAGCTTTACTAAAGCAGCAAAATTTTTACAGGAATCTGATATACAGATTTAAAAACTCCAGTATTATTCTTCTTAAATATATCTTGTTTTGCCTTCTTTTCCCAAAAAATTCTAGTTCACAAAAGTCGATTCTATGAACACGATACAAAAAAATATTTTAAAAGCACTTAAAGAATCCATAAAAGTAACAAAAAAACTCACCTAAACTTCACTGCAAAAACGTTTCAGTATCGGGAAAAGATTAAGCGCATTCAATTTAGTCACCTTCAGAACCTCTTTCAAAGTAACCCCTTTAACTTCAGCAATAAATTTCGCACTTATAGCAACATTAGCCGGCTCGTTGCGTTTACCCCTGTCATATCCGAGCACAGGAGAATCGGTTTCCAAACAAAGCTGGGTTAAGGGGATAGTTTCAATAAATTTTCTTGCCTAAAGCTTACACTGTACAAAATGCTGTACAACAGAGTATTTTCAAGAAGCTTCTACATTTCAGAAAAAAGTTTTCCTTACTCTATCACCACGGGCGAAGGAAGGAGGTACCGAAAAATAGTAGCCAGCCTCAACTCCCAACTTAGCAATGTCAGAACTACCACCGAAAGCATGCAAAAGCACTCGAGATGCTCCTGAACTCATTAAAACATCCAAGGTTGCACGATGCGCATCACGGCTATGTACGCTCCTAAACTTAGGATAATGAAACGATTTAAAGAATGATAAGTTCATGACTACTTGGATAATACTCTGCCTAATAATTCATACAACGTTACAAGAAAAACTTTTTACCCCATAAAGTTGCCATCTGACAAAAAAATAAGATTCATTATATTTTCTTTGACGCCCATACGCTGCTTCTTATCTGTAGAAGATTAAAACAGCGACTACATAAAAGAAAAAGAAAACTTGCAGTGGCAAGTCTAGTTCCTTTGCAAGCTCTATTTGTCGCTTTAAAACCTCAACCTGAACGCTCTTCTGGTCTTCAGTAAAACTGTTTCGTTTACAATAGTCCAACCCGACCTATAACTTTTGGAAATAATAATTACAACAATGAAGTGAAGAAGAACTTTCCAAATACTCATGAAATACCGAATTACTAGGAAGTATTACAGAAATCTCGACAATGATAACACTCTTACCTCTCCTATTGCCGCTACGACACCAGCGTTTTTTTCAATAAAATCTGCAACATTAGCAATATCCTTCAGTTCTACGCAAGCACCTTCTCTCTTTAAAATAAAATTCAGTCACGTGTGTATTACCAAGTGTCAACTGTGAACAAATTTTTCAATCAATAGAGAACTTCAACCCGACAACCAAATGTTAAATTAAATAAAGTGAAATACGTTACCAATCTCAACCACTTCTTTTAACAAAAACTTTTACCTGCACAGGATGTACTCCTATACACGGGAAACAAAAGCCTTTATACTTCTCACACAAGAGAATAATTTTTTCAAACTGATCTTCGAACTCAGAACAAACCAGGGCTGCAACAACACCAGCTTCCTTTGCACGTCTCACCACTACGTCGATATCGTCAGAAAATTCATCATCTGCCAAGTGACAGTGACAATCGATCATCCCTCAGCCAGAAAACAGAAAGTTTCCAACCACCGCAACGGACACCAAAGATCAGTAATCCAATAAGCTCTGCAGAAGAACAGGTACTTCCATTAACAGAACAAACGTGTCTTGCATCAACCGTTCTTTGAACATACTCAACAAAATACGCGCAATACTGTACATGAAGCGATAATCCCCATAAATGTACGAAACGAAAAAGTGCCAAGCGAAGGAAGTTTTTGACAACAAACAGGAACCTTATTCCAGTGACTGACCGACCTCATCACGGCACCTCTCCACTTTTTTT